TCTCATGAGTTTTGAATTTACATTCTATTACTGCTTTATGTTTATTTTGTACCCTGTGTTTCATGTATGTTTTGTTATGATGTATTTTTATCTACGTATTTTATTATATGTATTGTATGTTCATATGTTTTGACTTTGTTTTATAATCATGTTTTATAATAACTGTTTTTAATCTACTGTTTACTTATTGTTTTATATTGTTATATTTGTTGCGACATCAAATTGTTGCCAGTGTAAGCCACTCTGAGTCTCCACCCCCTCCCCCGTGGGGTGGGGGGGGGTTGAGAAGGGCAGGGTAGAAATGTTGTAAATAAATAAATAAATTTGTTGTACCTCACCTTGAGCCATTAGGAGAGGTGGGTAACAAATAACATTTATTATTATTATTATTATTATTATTATTATTATTTCTTCCAATGTACAAATATAATCATTTTTAGTACAAAGGTTAAAAAACAAACAAGCAAATAGCTGCTGGGCCTGAAATTTTCTTTGTTAGCTTAATTAAAGATCATAGCATTATGTGCACCTAGTTGGTGAATGGGCCTAAGCAATTTTCAAGATAACATACTATAGATATTGTTGAATTCAGTTTGCTAGCGATATAAATTTGTGACTATCTAATTATTGGCTGCTCTCTTAGGATTTGAGCTATGATAATTTGGTATAAAACCTGGCAAAGAGAACCTTCCAACTGTGAACTGAATGTTCTCTAGAAAAGAGTCAAGCATTTAACAGATGTAAGGATTGAATGCAAATAGCACAATTTCGGCTGCCATCCAGTATGCAGTTACTAAGGACTACTGAAATCTCTGGAATTTACTTCTAAGTAGACATGTAAATGATTGTGCTGCTGCTTTTTGTTTCTAAAATTCCATAGAAGCTATGTAGCCAGGGACTGCTGAAACTAACCTGCTTTGGTCTATTAAGTATTTAATCCTCATTTATTACATTTATTTTGAAACTTTCGTTGGAACTAACAAGATCACCATTGTACAGAAAAGGCACAATACAGATTTTAAAAGATATGTATGGAAAAGCTATTTAGATAGCTGATTTTGGAACTTTCTTTGGATTCTGGAAGTTGAAAGTATCTATTAAAAAATAGGCCTGATTCTTGTTACTAATAATATCACTGACAGTTGGTGTTTTGCCACGTCAGCAACATTTTTTAAAATGGAATTATGAATTAGACCCAGTCACTGCTTGTGTTATGCTCCAGTTTTATACTAATTTAGCATGCAGTGAAATTCTTGCAAGGTTTCATATCCCATGCTAGCACTCAAGAAAAATGCCACTCAAGTCCTAAGGGTAGGAAGTGTAACCCCTTCGTTCATTTTATATCAAAAGTTTGCAATTTGCCAAATGGTACACTGGAATTACTACTGATATAGTATACAGTAAACCCTAAGAATCAAACATTAGAGTCAGGACAGAATTGCAAGATTTCTGTTTTGATGGATGGAAGCAAGCAACCTAGTTTTTATGCAGGCCTTTCCTTCCATAGAAGTACATCATGACAGAGGAATGCATTTGAGGAAATGATCATACATAAAATATGTTTCGTACTTCAAATATAATTGTGAGCCAGTGTTATTCTGTTTGAAAAGTATTTTACAAATGGTTTAAAAGTAGAGAAAATAAAGCAAATAACAACTGGATTACTTTGTGTGTGTGTGTCTGCACTCCTGCATGTCACCTGCCAATTTAAAGCGACCCTGTGATTTTCCTAGGGTTTTCTTAGGATTAAGAAAAGATAATTCATTCTTTCGCACACTCCAGTTTAATAAGTTGGTTTTAATTCAGTGAGAAACTAGAGCAGTCATGCAGAATTTATTACTTAGTAACATAGATTTGCCAGCTGATGAAAACACTGCATGTGTTCTCTCTCTTGCTCTCTCTCTCCCCCTCTCTTAACTACTGTAGTGATTTTAGGAATTCAAATGTAGCTTCTAGTCCACTGCGTCAGAACAAAAAATGGGAAATTTCCCATAGAAACAGAAATCTTTCATTTTTAAAAAAAAATGTAATGCTTTTAAAGACTTTTTTTATAAACGTACAGTCGTTTTAAGAATGTAAACAACATTAGTCTAAATATAGTTATATTCGCAACTAGAGCAGATTCTTGAATAAATTGCCAAATTATAAGTCAAGCCTTATTTAAATCCCATTTATTCTTGGGGTTTACTTAAATTGTGATTAGTTATTGAATTTTGAGCTTTGTGTAGGATTGCTAATAAAATGTTCCAGGTTTTAATATATTAAATTTTCAAACATTGAGATAACAATACTTATTTGTCAAATTAACTTTTAAATGTCTTTTTTATGGCAAATAGAGCTGAAAGATGCCACAACCTAACAATTGCAGTATCTCCTGGGAGTTTTTTTTTTTTTGCCAGTTGATGAGATGCTGTCAAAATCTGAAGTTGCAAGCAGAAGGACCTATCAACATTGTAGTAAAACATTTTATATACTGTATTCTCAATGTAGCTTCCTCTGTGGTGTCCAACAGATACACTAATTTTCTGACAAATATCTAAGAAGAAAGAAGCAATCCCCAGACTCAAAGGATACATTTTTTGCTATATGAAACTTTGTCAAAGCAATCTAATCTTGAAGTAGATCAGTCTCATGTCTACTTTTGTTATGGGCAGTTGGATTGAGGGCAGTCTTCCTTGCCTATTCACATGTCAGTTTGTTTCTTGTTGTGGTGCTTATTATTTCCAACACTTCAGAATCTCTTCCACATGCTACAGGAGATGCAACATTTGAAACCACTTAGTGAAAAGTTGCAGAGATTGTGGTGTGCAAAGGCCTTGCCACTATGTAACAAGAAATATATTTTTGGCAGAATTGCAGAGGGTGTTCCATGACCATGTGCCTACTATGTTCTGTGTCCTGCAGCATTTGAAAGTTACTGTCTAATATCAAGTCTGAAATGTATTCAGATATTATTTTGCAATAGTAAAGGTCAATTACAATATCTGAAGGCTTTCCCTTAAACATTTTATTAGTCATTCTCTAAAATAAAATACTTCAAAATCCAACATTTTCCAAATGCAGTGGGGAGTCCTTGGAAAACAACAGGTCATTTTTTGTTTTCCTCTTTCATTTTTGTGTTTTGCACCTATAGCTTTTTATATCCATCTTCCGCCGAGACAGTTGGGTTCCAGGGTATGAAAGCCTGGTAATACACTGATGGCAGCAAATGAGATCGCAAGTGGCTTGAATTGTAGAATGATGGCACCATTATCTAATTACGTGTTTTGGTATTTGGATCTGGTGGAGCTGGTTGGTTTTTCTGCAGTTCCTGCCTGTGATGAGAACTTCGTATTGGCTAGCAGGGGTGTTGTTATTTGTTGGTATCGTCAATGTCCTTTATGTTAGGAAGAATGGCAGTTGAAATCATTCAAATAGTAATTTTCTATGTGTTTCCATTACCATATTACATTTATTGTTGCTAATCTTGCTAATAAAACTTATGTATAACACAAAATTACATTACTAGAAAAATTGTTTCCATTTTTAATCTGTATTTAATTTTTAAAAATTAGTCACGAGCTGGTAGAAAAGGCAGTAAGTTTTGGACTCTGTGAAATTATAGTTATGGCATGTAGCTTAGCTTTGAGTTTGTTTTTTGGAACCATGTATAATTTTAAATTTCCAAATAGAGAAAATGTTCTTATTTTGATTTTAAATCTTGGCTTGAATCTATTTGCTGGTACGATCTACAGCTCTCACTGTTTGTGAGATGTGCATCACTGTTGATAATACCATTCAGCAATGAATTCAGACGGTCTGCTTTAGTTCGAAATCTTTGAAATCTTTTTTTATTTGGTAGCTCACTTTATGTAAGTCTCGTGCATTTTGTTTCAATTAGATTGTGATCTTGTAGACCTAACCTTTAACCAAATTATGATTGAAAGTACAAACCTCTGCCCAGGCTGCATATTGTGGCATACAGGTGCAAGATGCCCTTCAAAAAGTCAAACTAAATGAAAACTTCTCTGACTCATGGCTCGCTTTTTATAATCTAATGCCACTTAATAGTAATTTATTAACTACAGGTTTGTAAGGACTTTTAGAACCTCCCCAAATTCAAGCTGTTTACTCAGCAATGAATCTTACTAAATTCAAGGTAATTTATTCCCCAGTGGATTTGTTTAAGATTGCAGACTTGATTATGCTAACACCTTAATAATAGCTGACACTGAATACTGGCTTATTTTAATTAACTCATCAGCATGGTGTAATGGTTTGAGCATTGGACTATGATGATAGAGGCCAGGCTTGATCCCTGCTCAGGCATAGAAACCTTCTGGGTGATCTTGGGCATGTCACACATTCTCAACCTCATAGGAAGGCAAAGGCAACCTCCTCACTGAACAAATCCTGCCAAGAAAAAACCTCATTAGAGGTACACTTGAGGATTAGCATAAGTTGGCTAGGGCTTGAAGGCACACAACAACAACAATAACAACAACAACAAGACACCTAGACTAGTGGATTATATTCAGTGATTAAATGGCACCTAATTGAAGCGCTTCATTTGGAAATTTAGGAACTTCTGTTGACCCTGAGCCTTAGACCCATATACTAAAAGCCAAAAAGGTTTTATGTTAAAGTAAGACTCCAGTCAGATACCACCCAATTTTACTACAAACAAAAATAGTTTTTTTTATCATGCAAATAGTGCCACTCCTATGTGATATACTTGTGACACATTATAGTTAATATTTCTCCCAGAATTCTGGGTGACATGTGACATTTCTTTATCATCAGAAAAATATGTACTCAGTAGCTTTCCCTTCATATATTAATAGGACAGTTGATTACCTGGCAACTCTTTTGTTCAATTTTTAATTTCTGCTTCTCTGCCCACCAGGAGACTACAGGAAGCTCAGCTTAAATTTATGTCTGCTGATTCCAGCAATTTAATAACTTACTTAAAGCAGTGTTTATTTGCCTGCATCTGAAATCCTTTGTTTTTGTTTTGCTTTAAAATAGGCTCGGAATGTTAACTCAAGTGAACTGGCGGCAATTAAAGTAATAAAATTAGAACCAGGTAAGCATTTGGTGTTTCCTTACTTTCATGTTTATGGTTCCTGAATTTTCCCTATCTTTGTCTTGGTTTTTTTGTATCCCTTTTGTATTTTGTTGTTTAAAAGTGGTACAGTGATGCTCAGATTATATTCTTAATCACTCATTTTTATGAGTAACTATAACTGTAAGATTATTAAAGTGCTTTTAAAGAGTATTATGTTAGTCTGTACCTTATGAAGCCCTTTCTCTGGTAGGGACATTTGAGAGAGTCAAAAAAGGGCTTCCAGCTTATACTTGCAAGTGAAAGAAGGGGAGTTCTTTGCACTCTTTGAATTTTCAAACTGTTTCAAAATTGATATTGAAATGTTAATATCTTTTATATGTACAGAATTTCAGGTTTGTATGAAGATAAATGTGGATTGCAATTTTAATTTTAATAATTACAATGTCGACATTGTATTCTATTTTAGATTTCGTAAGGAAATGTTGTATATGGGTATAGTTGGCTATAACCCAACTGCATTATTTTGGCTTTTCGCAAAATATTTTGTTATTAGATAAACTTGAACGAATGGTTTTTAATGTTTGTTTTTGTTTTTAAGCCTTAGTTATATGCATATGTTTTCGTAGTAAGCACCACTGAACATAGTGAAACTTAGTTCTGAATAAACATTTGTGGACTGGATTGTTTCCCTTCTTAAATAGCTAGAAAAATACGATATCTAGGAGTAGGGAGTTGCAATTAGCTTTATTAGAAACAACATTAAAATAAGCTAGTTGAATTCTGAAATCAAAGCAGCAGTAGTGTCCAGTCTATTTGGAAATGTTGGTTGCAATTGCTTAGAAGTCTTTATTACTTATTTGGCCTTGCATAAATAAAAAATTGGGGAATCACCAGAGAAGAAAACAGTTTACAGAAAACGTACACGCACGAATAGATACCTACATAAAAACTCCAGCCATCACCCGAGTCAAAAAAGAAGCACAATTAACCCCGGCAGACCGTGCAAAAAGAATCCGTGAACCCCACCTCCTCCAAGATGAACTAAAGTCCTCCTTAGTGCCAAACAGACATAAAACTCTCATTCCTGCAAAAGAACAGAAAAAAGAAAACCAAGACCAAAAATTGCAATGAAGATAGATACTCTACATGTGTGTATGTGTATCTTCAAATCATCTGTCAACTAATGACAACATTATTAATTTCATAGGATTTTCTCACGCAAGAAATACTTAGAGGTAGTTTTATCAGTTTCTTCTTCTGAAATATAGTGTGCAGCAGCTGGTATTTATTGTCAGTCTCCCATCCAAGTACTAACTTGCTTAGCCTTCAAAATTAAGTGGAATTTGGTACCTTTTGGGAATTCAGGCCACTCATCTTTACATAAAAGCCTATCTGCTTCATGATTTTGTGAGGAGTAAACATATGAATACCTTGTTTTATTTAGTTTATTGTTATAATAGAAAATTTTCCATAAGTCTGGAGGGAAAGGCTTTGATAAAAAACAAAACAACAAAAAAATCCCCCAAATCTTTCTGTCCATTTCCCCAGATCCCAGTCCTTCATATCTCTATTTGGGACTAATGATTTAATTTTACAGATTAAAGAATAGTTCTATTATTCTACTCATGAACTTTTAAATCTTAGTTATGAAAATGTAGAACTTCTATTCCAAGTTGTAAATAAAACTTAGAAAAAAAAGAAGTGGCTATTAAGAAGATAACGTAACTATTTGTTAGCAAGGATATAAACTAGTATTTACTCATCTGTATGTACTCACAAAATGGTTTCACTAGAATAAAATTCTGTATATTTAACAAGATGATCTAAGCAGGGAAGTAGCTGTAGGTAACCCTTTGGCCTTCTTTCAAGGTCCTTTCTAAATTACAGGACACCTAGAGATCAGTTCTGTAGGGTATGGGGGAAAGAGCAAAGGGATAAACACATTGAGCAATTTGTGCCAAGGCAAACATACAAAGAAGCTGGAGGTTTTTGGAACAGGACTGGAGATACAGTGTTCAAAGCAAAAACTATTTAAATAAATTGTGATAATAATAACAACTATAACCACATATGCCTCATATTCTTGTAACATAGAACTAGACTAGTGCAGGATCCAATGGGAAGCTCGTTTGTTTCTTTATATCCCGTTTTATCACTCCATACAGAGGCTGAAAGTGGCTCACAATAAAAAAACATTACAACTTAAAATATACAAATATACAATAATAAAACAGTATATCATTACAGTATATATTATTGTGTATTATCAGTAGTAATTATATTTAATATATTAGTATTACTATATTATAATAGTATATAGTATTATATTGAATTATTATTAGCAATATTAGAAGCTGCGGTGGCGCAATGGGTTGAAACATTGTGCTAGCTGAACTGCTCGCCTGAAGGTCAGCAGTTTGAATCCACGAGACAGGGTGAGCTCCTGTGTGTCACCTCCAGCATCCAATTTAGGGACATGAGAGAAGCCTCCCACAGGATGGGAAAACATCTGGACATCCCCTGGCCAATGTCTTTGCAGACGACCAGTTCTCTCACCAAAAGCGGTTTCTCAAATTGCTTCTGACATGAAAAAATACCATTATTGTATTACATTATAATATTATTATCAATATTATATGTATAAACAATATATTATTAGCATAGCACTATATTAGCATTATATATTACTATATTGTACTATACCACGATACTGCAATATTATTAGTGATATTGCATGTAATATATAATATACAATAATTATATTGTTTATATTATTACATTGTACTATAGTATTATATCACAATATATATAATACACTACCAGTATATTATACTATTGAATTTTTGAATGATTTTTGAATGATTGATGTTGACTTTCACAGTATAATTTTACACTTTAAATGCAGACATTCCTAATATTTATGGTTATGGGAAAGAGCTTGGAAAACGTGTGGGTGGTTCCCGGGTAAACATGAGAACAGTGGGTGGATTTGCAGTGCTTCTAACAATCACAGCTATAACATGTCATTTCATCGTAAGAGCACTTTTGATCTCTCTTCCTACTGTATCAGTCCCATTATGCACATTTTTTGTGTTGGTAAAGATTGTATACCTTTAAAAAAAATCGCAGTCTTGAAAGCAGGATGAGCTATATACCATGAGCATGCACCCTTTATATTTCTGTTTACCAACTTGCAGAAAAATAGGCATGTATATGGCCTAAATACCCTATTTCAATACAGTGTGAATGAGATATTAGAAAAAAAATTAATGATTGTGCCATGTTATTCAATCAAAATAGTGATTTGTGGACTGTCAATAATGTGGAAGTGAAATAAATATATGCATTACTTATATACATGGCCATTTTGAGTAATTCCAGTATATTGAACTGTCTTACAATTTTTATAACCTGCTTGTGTCAATTTTATCATTGTTATTTCTGAATGACAAAGAAAGTGCTTTTTTTCTAGGAGAAGATTTTGCTGTTGTGCAGCAGGAAATCATTATGATGAAAGACTGTAAGCATCCAAACATTGTTGCTTATTTTGGCAGCTATCTCAGGTATAATTTTTTATGGTGTATCTTATTCATCTAAGAATTTTCACTGCTTGCAAAAATAAAAGACCTTTCATGGCCCTGAGTGGGGGGTGGACTAGGTTAGGGAATTTAGCAATACCAGCTTCTAATTAACTATGGCATCCTGTACTCCTTAGGGAGTTGAGGCTGTCTGCTTTTTCATATTCATAACAAATCACTTCAGATTCTTGGCTCTTGCTGTTGTGAATTTACACGGGACAATTTAGTCCTTGTTCTGGAAATGACTTTGCAGACTCTGTTCCCACCTAGCAGCTTTCATGCTGCTCAAGTCTCTGTGTAACTTGTCTTCAAGACATAGTGGGTAATTGTCTTCCAGCATCAAAAAGGATGAGGATGGGATATAGTCTAAGAAGGTGGAGGAGACAGATGGATTCTCAAGGTCTGAAAGTCTGGATGATCCTTTTAATCTGATTAGAAAAATGAATCTGTTAGTCATGCTGACTAGTGAATTAATGCTACCATCCCTTAATTGAATAAATCCTTACGACACTCCCATTTGGTACTTTCCCCTGTGTTCATTTGCCTTAAAGGCTAAAGCATGCATCCCTAGCTGTTTTTCCAGATGATCAGGTTGGCGACTTTCCTTCCTGATAGGCCTCCTTCACCTAGCAAGCAGCAATTTAGCAGGTGAAACTATTCTTTGCATCAAGTTGGAGATGGTGAGAAAGATCTTCTGACAAATTTCCAAGTGTTTACTGATAGTGCAGTAAATGAGGCATGGAAGTGGAGTGGTGGTGGGATAACAGTCTTGCCTGGACTGTCACAGTTTAGGTTCACCTTATTACAGTCTAGGGATTTATTGTTAGTTGATGACTTATGAATGTCTTGATTGTTGTGGATCTTCAGTATGATACCATTTGTCAACTACTTGTTAAATTTGCACTTGGTTATATTAGACTGCCTGTACAAAATGTAGTGTTAAACCAATGCATTGTGACCTTAGGATGACAGCACTGTGTGTAAAAGCAAGACTGTCAATTTTCCATTTCCTTGAAATGTGACTTAAAATTGTATGCTAGTTTTAGTTTAGTTGTATGTTAGTTTTAGTTTAGTTTTAGTTTTTAACAAATGCTGGTTTGAACTTGGCTTGTTGTGAAACTGATCAAAGGGAACAGCATTAACCCTCCAGGAAACATTTGAGGGCTACTTCCACTGCATCAAATGACTGAACATACCAGCAAGCCACACTACAGGGAAATGGAAAGTAGATGCTATTGGTCACCAATGAGGAGGATGGGAAATCATTCAGGCTTAATCATAGAATCAGAGAGTTGGAAAAGACCTTGTAGGCCATCCAGTCCAACCCCCTGTCAAGAAGCAGGAAAATTGCATTCAAAGCTTGTTCCAGTTTATGCACATAATACCAGATCATTATTTAGTATTACAAAGACATGCAGCTGTTGAGTGGTCTCTTGGTCTTCTGAAAACATACATTTTATATATTTTTGAACATTTTTAATAAAGCATTTTGTTCATTTCTCATATAGTTTTAGGATATAACTATTTAGATCATCAAGACCTTTCTATAATGTAATGTACCTCCCAGTATCAGAGTTATCCCATATGTGGAATGTAGTACTTTGGGAGTTTCCTAAAATAGCAGAACAAATATTGGTTATTTTCTCATTACATCAAGATGAAAAAAGACAATCAATATGTTTGTACTGCTTAAATCTGCCAGAAAACTGAGATGTATAATGGCTTCAAAGACACTTTAATGAAAGTGTCTTTGCATCTTTTACATTGTGATAGTACTGTGTTTGCATTCTTGCAGTATGATGAAAAATGTAGGCATGTTATGTGTTGCTTTGTTCAGATTTATATTTATTTTAGTTTTCTCCCTTACTCTATGTTTTTAGTGTGGGTTATTTCCTTTTTTAAAATGTGAAGTATAAAATTGACAGGAAAACTGAGAAAAGTCCAGTAGAAAGTAAAAATCCCACGAACCTTCTCAGACTACCAGACAAGCAAAATATACTTGGATCATTTCTTTGATCATATCTTCCATGCACTAAATTCTCTAGTTACTAGAATACTTCTGCATATGGTCTTGGTGCACAGTTCAAATGAGCAAAAGAATGCTCTTTCATTCTGGAGTTTGCTGCAGGAGTTGAGAAACACAGTAGTCTGTGTTTTCTATTAAGTGCCGATATGTGTTTTGTGCAATAAACATAAAAACATATAAGGAATGCCCACTCATATTTATTCAACGTCTAGAAAATTGTCATTTCTAATTGTTTATAAGTGTGCCAAACTAATGAAATGTATGATTTTTAGACGTGATAAACTGTGGATTTGCATGGAGTTCTGTGGAGGAGGCTCATTGCAGGACATTTACCATGGTAAGTTCAAGAGTGGTACCAGACTCTGCAAATATAAATTAGAAAATTTAAGAGAACTCTGTTATTTCTTTGGATAATGGGTTTTTAGACAAAGGTTTGTTTCCAAATTTGGGGGAAAAAATCTATACCCAGGTGGGCAACTCTGCTAGCCTAGGAGTGGCATTAACCCTACAGGAAACATTTGAGGGCCACCTCCACTGCATCAAATGATCCCAGGCACTCTCATGCTTACCATGTTTAAGGGCCTTTCTGGGCCATTTTAGGCCTAGCAGAACCTTTTTAAAAGAAACAGAATGTGAGCAGAAATGACTTCCTAATAGAAATAAAGACTTATTCCATGAATAAATTTTCTCAATGGGGCAAAGGTAGAAATGATTCGTGCCAGGGTACATTTTGGAGCATTTTAAAAAAATAGCAGACTGTTTTTACACATGGACAGCCCAGGGGAGCTGCAGACATGGTGGAAATAGCCTCTACACCCCCAGAGGTTATTTTGCGCACACTCTCTCTACACACACACACACACATATATAGCCAAGGAGGGGAGGAGCACATGCAGTTTATGTGTTGCCCTTTGCCCACCCCTGATCTACAATATAGTTATTATATACCTCAAGTGCTATGAAATAACAAGTCAAAGCCTCTTCAGAATGTTTACTGACTGTAGAACTGGTTAAGACATGAGGTCTCCTTTGTTAATTATTTTTTACTTCCCTGTTTTGTTTTCATCACTGGTAATTGTGGGTTTGTGGTTACTTGCAATATAAGATCATTTCACAATATATAAATGTTGTGTAAAGTGGAAATTAATGGGTAGATAAACCTTTACTCTTGAGTGAAAAAAATGTCTGAATTTAATAACAGTGTATTTTATGAACGGATACTGCTGACTCTATATAAAAAACCAAAAAACAAATAAAATGAGCTCAAGTTCTGCCCATTTTGCTTCAGTATTCTTTTGTCTATTGCTGTTTGATAACAACAATTTCCATATGGGGGGAGAGAGATTTGTGTCCTTTCAAAGTACATTGATGCTACAAATTACTGTATACTACAGTATATATTTATGTGAAAAATCTTACAGGCCTCCAGAAGTTGTTGAATTGCTGCTATCAAACATGGTGAAAAAATGGGGTGCAAGAGAACAATGGAAGGGCCACATGATTCCCACCTTTGTTTTATATCCTGCCCTTTTCTGATAAAGTTAGACTCCAGGATCTTGCAAATCATTGTAGATCTGCTCAGGGTCTGTAGATTGCCAACAAAAAATGGAGATAACCAAGATGAGGAATGGAGGATCCTGCTTGAAGTAAAAGGTCATTTGGAGCCTGAAACAGAATGTGTCATTCTTGTAAAAAAAAATAAACCACAAGAGATTTAAAAACAAAACAAATAGCTGTAAAAACAGCAGTATCCACCTACATTTTGTGATGCAGCTCTCAATGTGCTCATGACACACAGCCCAGGCTCCAAAACTGTGTCAGCTGTCACAATTCATAGGTCACTGAATCACGTTCATATAGAATATAATATACTACTGTATATGAAGTGGCTTGTAGCCATATTTCAGCAGACATATAGACACAATGCAATCATGTCATTTCTGTATGATCAGGCAGTTGGTAAGCAAAGCAGTTCCTTGTTGACTTCTTCCTGCACCAATATTCCCTTGGATTCAATTCTTCTACTTTCTAAGAATTGGGAGCACATGTAAAGTGGATGGCTTTTTTACAGTTGAGTGATTGCAAGACCTTTCTGATAGTCAAGTTGTCAGAATTTATATTCTGACAAAAGTAATTTCTTTACTTGTACAAGCTTGTTGTGTTCTGTCTTTGTGCCTCCTCATTCCTGTGTTTCTTTTGTAAATGCAGTGATTGATGTCCTTGTGATGGTGCCACCTGTGTTTTAGGAAATGAGCTTATTTTACACTTGTGGTTGAACAGATGTTGGGAGCTAATGCTTTCCTGTTACTACTGATTTTGGCTGCAAAGCTGTTTTTTGTAAAATGTGAAATATTCTGTCTTTTAATTAATTTCCAAGCTGTTTCTTACACCAGGCCAGCATCAACAATTAGATTTGCAAGTACTTTAGTGATATCCAGAATACTTCAGCAAGCACTCTATGTTGCTATAGAATTATTTAACACCTTAGATGTTGTTCATGTAATTATCATCTTTCCAAGAATTGCATAATATACTTTATGTATATTTTATGTATAGGTATACCTATGCATAAAAGCAGAGCTCAATGCAATCAGATCACAGATAGTAAATGACATTATAAACCAGTGATGAAAACTTCAATTTGTCACTGGATACCAATTCCTATCATCCTTCACTATCATCCTTCACTATTGCTTATGTTGAATGAGGCTGATAGGAATTTATTCAAGTAATAGCTAACTAGTTGCAGGTTCCTGAAGATTTCAGTTTAAAACAACTACAAGATAGCACTACCATCCCATGCTTGGGTTTCTAGACCAGAGCTTCTTAAAGTGGAGGTCACAACCACAAGTGGAGTTGCGAAAGTGAGTGGTGGGGGTTGCAAAAAGAATGCCCAAAAAAGCATATGGACAGAGAAGAAGAACTGGGATGCTGGTTGAGAAGGAAAAAGTGGTGCGTACTGATGAAGAAATAGGTGGAATTGGGGTGCTGGTTGAGAAGAGAAAGGCGCATTTGGACTTAGAAAGAAGAGGATTGAGGTGCTGCTTGAGAAAGGGAAAAGTGGTATATTTGTATACCTATTTTGCATTTGTATACCTATATACTTGGGGTCACTTAAACATTTCTCAGGTGGAACAGAATTGTGAGCAGAAAAGATTTAAACCCTGCCCTCGACAACAATACTTAAGCATTTACAAAAGATTACAATGCTATTTTAATGTCTTTTTACATTTATGGCCAGAAACACTTACCATACTTGTTCTTGTGTGAGAGAATGCTATTTGAGAGCAATCCTTAAAGTTAACAGTGAAATGTAATTTTTTCCCCTTTTCCAGTGACTGGACCTCTCTTAGAATTGCAGATTGCTTATGTAAGCAGAGAAACACTACAGGTGAGGAAAATATTTCAATTCTTAATCTTAGAGGTAGAAAATGCACCTTTCTCTAGGAATGGTCTTGACCTATAAAGCCCTATACGGTTCTGGCCCTGGTACCTGTCCGAACGCATCTCCCTCTACATTCCGCCTTGCAGTTTAAGATCGTCCGGGGAGGCCCTGCTCTTGGTCTCGACAGCCTTGCAAATGCGCATTGGCAGGGATGAGGGACAGGGCCTTCTCGGTGGTGGCCCTATGCCTATGGAACTCGCTCCCCAGTGAGATCAAGTTGGTGTCTTCCCTTCTTTCTTTTAGGAAGAAGGTTAAATCTCTCTCTCCCTCACAAACAATCTGCTCCATCCCTATCTCATCCTGATCTTTAGTATTTTTAGTATTTTAGTTTTTTATTTTGCACATGTGGCCCGCTCATTGTTATTTTATTGTGTATCATTTTGTTTTATTGTTTTTTGTACTCATATGTTGTATATATTTTACTGTGTTGTTATTGTGTTTTGCTTTTATTTTATTGTAATATGTTGTTGGGCTTGGCCTCATGTAAGCCGCCCCGAGTCCCCATTGGGGAGATAGCGGCGGGGTATTAAATAAAGTTTATTATTATTATTATTATTAAATCATGGTTCTGGGACCAGGCCTTTGGACAGCAAGCATGACTTGGTTGTCTGCAAGGATGTTGCCCAGGGGATGCCGGGACGTTTTACCATCCTGTGGGAGGCTTCTCTCATGTCCCCACATGGGAAGCTAGAGCTGACAGACAGGAGCTCACCTCACACCCTGGATTCATACCAGGGTTTAACCCATTGTTCCACCAGGGACTCTGGGGGCAAGGTGAGCTATTGAGATAGTCGCAAAGATTATCCATGTTTACTTTTCAAGCGTTCAATAGCCAATATATGATGAAGAAGAAACCTGTGGAATTCAAATCCCCCAAAATATTTACTGAAAAAGAATCAGCAATGTGTTTTTTCTCTAGTGCTGATGTCCACAATAGTATATATAGGAGTGTAGACTTCATTGTACTTGTGTGTATTTGTTTCGGGCTTGGTGCTTTTGTCTAACTTTCAGTTATTGAAAATGTCTAACTTTCGGTTATTTGTTTCTGTGTGTTTCCCCTTCTGCCATGTGTTCAAGCATAGACTGAGAATGCAGTAATCATGATGCAGAACAGTGTCCGCAAACCCAGAATCAAAATTAGCCACTCATTCCCTGTAAGGGTGATGGAACTAATTTTGTCGATCTCTTACCCAAGGTATTTTAGGCCTAGCCAGTTTTAAAACTAGAATTATTTTCTTCCAGTTTTGTAAAAAGAAAAAAGAAACAAGGCTATTCTTGGGCCTAAATTAGAGGGCTTGGATTGGATTGGGCTGGATTAATGAAACTACTTGTACATCCCCCTGAGGATATGATAAAGCTCACAATGTTTTTAAAAAACAAAACAGGAACGAGAAGAGATCAACTGGGGGACCACGTCCCAGCCCTCATTAAGTCGGCCATTCTGATGTAAACTATATTAAATAAAAAATATATAGATGCATCATTTCATTTTCAAACGTCTGATTAGGGTTTTGTTGTTGTTTAGAACAACTCCAACAACAAGTCCCAGAAGCACTTTATTAGAAACTAAGATTACTGGCACACTGCACTTACCCTATAATCCTTACATATCACCTGTCACATCAGCACTTTTAATCTGTGCCCAATACTCTGGCCCAGCCCAGTTTTATTGTGTCCTGGTGTATTGTTATTGCTTGTTGTTTAATATTGCTTTAACTGTTTTTAATTTGCTTTAGGTTGTGTATTGTTATATTGTGTTTTGAGGCCTTGGCCTTTGTAAGCCGCATCGAGTCCTTCGGGAGATGCTAGCAGGGTACAAATAAAGATAATAATAATAATAATAATAATAATAATAATAATAATAATAAGAAGAAGAAGAAGAAGAAGAAGAAGAAGAAGAAGAAGAAGAAGAAGCAGAAGCAGAAGAAGAAGAAGTAGTTCATATATTGTTTCTAACCAATTTTTGTGTCTTTTTAATTGTAGGGATTATATTATCTTCACAGTAAAGGAAAAATGCACAGAGACATAAAGGTCAGTCTGTTCTTTAAATTCTTTCCTCGGGTGCTTAAAACTGTGACTTCAAATACTAACTTCTGTAAACAGAAGCATCATGATTTTTGATTTTTTTTAAATGTGAAACTTCTTCTATCAAGGAGAAAATGTATTATGAAAAAGTGTACCAAAGGACAATATAATTGGACTTGTGTTTCTATGGGAATGCCTGTGTTTTGTAATAATTGTACATTGTTAGTGATAGAGAAATATTCTTGATGTTGAGGAGGATTTAAAGTGGGATCCCTTGCTAAGCAGAAGGCACTTATGTTTCTGTAAGGCAGTGGTTCTCAACCTGTGGGTCCCCAGGTGTTTTGGCCTACAACTCCCAGAAATCCTAGCCAATTTACCAGATTTCTGGGAGTTGAAGGCCAAAACATCTTGGGACCCATGGGTTGAGAACCACTGCTGTAAGGGGCTTCGCTTTTCCTGGAATATTCTCCCTAAAGAAATCAGATTAGCCCCCTCTCTTCAGGTCTTCTGGGTGAGTCTAAAAACAGACAGGCCTTAGATCCTGAGTAATCCATGGCCAATGTGATGAATCATTGATGGCACTGGCTCTTACTTTGATTGATTGTTATGACAGATAGCCCGCCTGCAGGTTCCACTGCCTTTTAGGAATTTTATACGTTTAAATTCTTTATAATTTTATCAATGAGATTTTAATGCACTGTTGATTATACTTATGTCATTGTATTTATACTTATTGTCTTCATGTCACACTTGGAGTGCTCATGTGAGCTGCCCCAAGTCCCTTTGGGGAGATGGTGACGGGGTACAAATAAAGATTATTTATTATATTATAATCCCATGTTATCCAAGAGGATTTTTATTCTCTGGTTTAGCTTTTGATGGCCCATTGGAGACTGCATAAGAAAGATGGTAGGAAAGGACTGTTGTACTCGGCTTTTTGGATCTGAGTCAGAGTTCAAGAATTTGAAGGAAGCAACATTCTCATCCCTCTGTGTCTGGGACACTGACACAAATGAGTGCCTCTAGGTCATAGTTCCTTCTGAATTTTTTATTGCTGCATACTTTTTCTTTGTATTCGAAGTCCATGTTTTGCCACCTTGATCTAATCAGGATTCTCTGGGTATTGACTTTGGTTTTAAGTATTTCCCTCGGTATTGCACATTTTACTACTGAATTGCACACTTTACTATCTACCTTTTAAAGGGAACTAATCAGTCTGTTCATGCAGCTTTTCTCCAAGTTAAAGTCTGGATAGTGATGCATTTTTCAGTACGTTCTCACTGAATTTTTTTAAAGTATTTTTGATGTGTCTTCTTGTATATGATTTATTTACAGCATTTCTACCTGACTCTTCTCACCCCTGCGGGTAGAAATGGTGTAAATAAATAACCTATATTTTGCAAATGTCTCTGTCACCAAACGTAATCCATCATTTTTCCTTGTTTTTCCTTGTTTTGTTTGACTTCTGCCTTCAGTGTTATGTAGCTGTATATTACTAATGTTCTTTCAAATGTTAAAATTATTACTTCAAACTGATGTAATATAACACTGATGGTTTATTTATACTAGTCCAAGAGTACAATTAGTCCTCTCTTGCTCAAATTCCCCCATACCCTTTAATCATAGGCATTATTGTTGTGCTTTATTTTTCTTACCTATCATGATTTATTTTTCTTCTGATTTGCTGTTTTAGTTTTTACTTACTCTGGAATATAAAAGTGATTATTGTTGTTGTTGTTCCTTGTTTTAAGTTGCTCCGAGTCCCCTTGGGGAGAGGGGGCGAGATATAAAAAGCTTTATTATTATTATTATTATTATTATTGTTGTTGTTGTTCATAGTTGGTTATGATAGAGATAGGAAACTATCATACCTTAAATTGTAACATAATGTGTCTCTTTAACTGTGAAGATTGCTGGGAATGTGATTTTTATGGAGATGGGAGCATGTAATGCTCCAACCTTCACATGTTAAACAGAGTCTGGATGGAAATCTGTCAGAGGTACTTTGATTGGGCTTTTCCTGCATGGCAGGGGGTTGGACTAGATGGCCCACGTGGTCTCTTCCAACTCTATGATTCTATGTAATAATTATTACCATTGTTGGATTGTTTGTGTTTTCTCTACACCAGTCCTTAATATACTCAGAATTATATTCTAAAATTTTGTAAGGTGAACCAGATATTTGTTTGCATCTGGAGATGTCTTGCAAAGCAGAAAGCACTTTTAGTATAGTACGCAGATTGGGGCCCTTGACTGTTTTCTCTGTAATTCTTCCAGAAGCAGGACAAAATACAAAAAAAGAAGTGTCTGAAAATTATAAAATAGAAATTGTATGGTTTTAATAAATTGTAAATACTATTTGAACAAATAACTTGACTAATATTAGGTAACTCCAGTAGTGTAGCCAGCACACTAAATCTGTTTAGCAGTATGTTTTCTAAAATATTGAAAAATGCAGAATAGAATTTTATACACTTTTTTAGTGTTCCTTTCCATATGCTGTAAGGACATCTCTATAAAATTCATGGTATTCAGCTGTTGGCTTGAAAAGCACATACACACACAAATCTTTCTTTAGTTCTAAAGTAGTAGGATTTAAAGGACATGTAGGTTTGTCTCATTATTCATGTGATATATGAAGAAATAGCAATAGAAAATTCAAATTTAATTCAGTTATTTAAATTCTCTTAATTGCAGTCTATTACTCCTGTCTTGTAGACCTGTTAAACTTATAGTATTACATCTTGGATCAGAGTTTGGGTGTGTAGTGTACAGGGGAATAGGGACAGCCCTACTCCATAAGCTGAAGTCAGCTAATACTAGTTAAGATGCCAAGTTTTACTTTTCAATAGACAGCATTTAAAAAGGACTATCTAAATATAGGATTTAAGTGCTATTCTAGTAATAAAGACAAAGATGAGGTTAGCACTACATACAGTACATGGTGTCCTCATACTATTCTAGTTTCCTATGGTGCTCTCAGTGTTATCTGATTAAGCATGTTTGGTTAAAAAGCTATATTTGAATTTATTGAAAGCATTAGGTGGAAGTTATTTCACGGGAATATTTGTAATATGGTCAGCCCTCCACGTTCACTGGGGCTAGGAGCACAAGACCCCCATAAAAATGGGGAAAGAAACCCTACACATGAAGATATTGCTATTATTTATCTGAGATAATATCTCTCCAGGAATTTCTAGGTCTTTCAGCACAATTCTGTGGTCAAGTTCTGCTGGGAGCTGACCATAGAATTGCATTGGAGTTCCTAGGTCCTCTAGCATGACTGGAGGAAGTTTATAGAGTCACATTGGAGTATCTCGAGATTCCTAGAGAGAACATTTTAAATCAAATCTGTAGAAAATCAAATCTTCAAAAGTCACAACCACAAATGTGGAAGAATAATTAATGTAAGAAAAATAGCATATACCGTACTTCCCTTATACACTTGAAAGAACATTTTTAGGGCACATGCCTAAAGAAAGCTGTGCCTTTTTTCATGTCAGGAGCGACTTGAGAAACTGAAAGTTGCTTCTGGTGTGAGCGAATTGGCTGTCTGCAAGGACGTTGCCCAGGGGATGCCCAGTTGTTTGATGTTTTACCATCCTTGTGGGAGGCTTCTCTCATGTCTCCACATGGGGAGCTAGAACTGACAGAGGGAGCTTAACCCACTCTCCCAGGATTCAAACCGCTGACCTATTGGTCAACAGTCTTGCAGGTGCAAGGGTTTAACCCATTGCGCCACAGGGGCTCCAGCTGTGCCTGATAATCCTAAATCAACAGTTTTAACTTTCTTTTGCTGAATACAACAGTAGTACCTTCTGTTTCATTCATCCACTCTCTGCACTAGTTCTCGGTTTCATCTCCAGTTGAGAATAATCTGATTTGTTGACTTGTTTCTTTTCGTTTTGTTGTTACTTAATACATTAATAAAAAAATTAAATGCCAGAAAAAAACCAGCTGAGCCACCTATGGATAAAGATGTATGTGTATGTATACATGTACAGATATGGATATGATATTGAAACATTTTCAGAGACATAGCATTGGAATGTTTTCTGCCCTCTTAGAATGATAGGCTGGTGCTGTGTCATATTTCATGGTAATTTGATGCAGTTATGTTAAGATATTCTCTTTGAAGCTCTTGCTTCAATTTGTCTCTGTATGTGCATAGGTGGTTTTATCTTAAAGTAGTTGTAGTTGGAATTAGTGTGAAGCTATCTCTATTTTCCATTCATTGGTGTTGTTCTGGCAACAGTTATGTTCCAGCCCTAACATTAATATTCTACGTTCTTAGAATGCCATGTGACTGTGATTGATATTATTATAATACTAAAAAGAAATCTGTCTTTGTCCCCAAGGGAGCCAATATTCTTTTAACAGACAATGGCCATGTGAAATTAGGTATGTATTTCTGTGTAGATTTACTTTTATATAATGCATTTTAGTAATAATATAAGCTGTGAAAATATCCAAAAAGTTAAAAGATTCAATGTTTTATCTTTGATACTCTCAAAGTGAAAAAAAATAATCAGAATGTGGCCAAATAAATTGCATGTACACATAGCAAATAATTGTTTTGACACTTTTGTTACAATAACTTCAACAATTAGACACACACTGCTGTTTTTTGCTTTGTTTTTTTAAAAGCTCGGTTTTCAGCTATCAAAATTTTCTGCTGAAAGGTCTACATTTACATTATATTATCTCAAGGAGAACTTTTATAAAATGATGTATTATTGGTATATGATATCAGAGGAGCTGTCCAGAATGTATAAGGGAGTTTTGAATATCTGCTGGAAAGTGAACAAGGAGGGAAGATGTGATAGATGTGTGAAAAAGCAAAAAAGTTCAGAATTCAAATACATATTTTGATTGAGACGATTTTGAAAACTAGTAGACAGCTGAAACTAGAGCTATTTATTTGGGGACAATTGGAAAGGAGTAATCAAAGAGTATTCTACTTAGTAGTTATAGCAGTAAGATTGCTATCTGCTTGAAGTTGGAAAAATTCAGTATTGTCTAAGATGGAAGAATGTTTTTTTAAATTAAATGAATAGAATTAAATAAAATGAATTAAATTGTATGAAGAAAGCTTATAATAAAAGTTTTTTTTAGAAAAATGTTCTGCTAAAAACTGGAATGCTCTGACTTGTTTAAATTTTTTATCTTGTGTTCATTTGTAGTATGTTTAAATGTAACCATTGTTTACTTTGACATATTATGTGCCATTTAAATTAACCAACCTTTATGAAGCATCTTTCATAAGTATTTGGTTTCAGCGTGTCGAAAAAAATTAGCTTGGAGTAGAATATCATTTTTTTCTTCAAAATTAAAAAGACATAGAGGCAAAAATTAGGTTCCAAGGCAATTCATTCAAAATGCAGATAACCATTATTAAGAATTCACAAGAAATGTTATATTGTGACCCTTTTCTGTAGGCTCTAAAGAAAGTATACTTCTCTTTTTTTGGTCTGAGGAAAATCGGCTAGATATGACTGTTAGTCCCAACTATAATAGACTCATTAAAGAAACGGGGACTACTTATGCAAGTTCCCTTGATTCAAATGTTCTATTCTGATTGGAACAAAAAGTTGGATTTAGCCCAAAATGTATAGTGGAAAAATGGGACTACAAAGACTTTTAAAGCTTGTTTCTAATAGATCTTGACTGTAGAAAATTAACTATTGTGTTGATCACCATAAGTATGATTACATCACTTGCTGTATTCCATCATTTTTAGCTGATTTTGGAGTAGCAGCACAAATAACAGCAACCATTGCCAAAAGGAAATCTTTCATTGGAACACCATATTGGTAATTTTCCTTTATTCTAATAATTCCGGACATGTGTGGGGAGTTGTCAAGGAGAGGGGAAATCTGTTCCAATAGTCTTGTTGATTCAGCTGACAAACAGAAACTGCTGGATGCAACCCAAGGTGATACACATCCAAAGCTGGCTCTTGAAGTGAGTGGGGAAGGTCTTGTGTGGACACCAGTTGTGGGGAACATGGCCTTTGGACTACATATAGCCCATGTTTCTTTTGCCTTCTGTCCATAGCTGGTGAATTTCAGTGACATGTCACTGAAAAAAGACACGTTTTTATCTGATCAGGAGGAGGGGGGTTGCACTGCTACATTCTGGGTATCTCAGTTGTTCTTTAACACAAAGTGTGTAGTTTCTGTGTGCCCTGATTCAGTTGTGGAGGGAAGTAGCTCAGTTTCAACAATTAGATGGCTTTTCCCATTGTTGTCCACTCATCTTGGGATTTGTGAACTGTGTCTTGGTCTCTTCTTACTTTTTATTTCACAAAGTGTGAGCTTCAGGGTTGCAAGATAAATTATGACTGACTTTCTAGGGTGGCTTTCTCCAGCATTTTCTCAGCATCATTTATGCACATAATTTTTGACATGTTTTAGGTTACTGGTATTAGTCAGAAGAAGATCAACCTTACTTGTTAGGCCCTTCACTCTGATCGAGCATTGGGACTACTAAAGATGAAAGGGCACTTATAGTCTGTCTCTTAAATAAAAGCCTAAGGAGCAGCAGGGAGGTTAACATTGGAACATTTATTTATTTATTTATTTGACTTGTATACCGCCACTCCCAATTTGGCTCGGAGCAGTTTACAGCAGTAGATTAAACCAATACAACCAACTTTAAAATACAATAAAAATGAAAACAGACATAGTCCCGAAGTTATTCACCCATTGAAAGCTTGTCAGAAAAGAAAGGTTTTACAGGCTTTCCGAAAATCAAGTAGCTCTCGGATGGTTCGGATTTTAACTGGCAAGGCACAACCTTGCCAGCAAGGAGCCACAACCGAGAAGGCTCTCTGCCTAGTAGAGGACAGATGATAAGTCCAGATGTTGGGGACTTCAAGCAAACTTTGGTCTTCGGACCGAAATAATCTCTGGGGTTGGTAGGAGGATAAGCGGGCCCTTATTGAAATGTGTCTAGGCAGTACTGTCTTTAAGAATATGGGGATGGAAACTAAACTAGCTTTTTCTTACTTTTAGGATGGCTCCTGAGGTTGCTGCAGTCGAAAGGAAAGGTGGATACAACCAACTTTGTGACCTTTGGGCTGTTGGAATCACTGCTATAGAACTAGCAGAACTCCAGCCCCCAATGTTTGACTTGCATCCAATGAGGTTGGTAATTTTATGTAAGGCTGGAAGCTGTAGGAACATTTAAAAGCATATAAGAGCATAAATATAACTTGTAGGGTTTCTAATAAGAAAATACCTTCCTATCATTTGAACAGATGGCTGCAAGATCAGTGTTGGCAACTGTTCACAATGCAGGAAGAAGGAAAAGAAGGAAATAAATTTGATTCCCTCCCCCTTTTCCCCTTGTAGCTCTAGACCATCTGCTTGTGAAAAAGAGAGATAATGGAGCTAACTGTTGTAGAAAAACTGCAAATAAGAAATGTTTGTTTATTTAACCTGAGAGAACACCTCTCTAGGAATTTCTGTAACCTCAATTTAACCATAGAATCTCGTTTGGATGGCCTACAAATGCATAGAGAAGTGTTCTCTCCAGGAGTCTTTAATTCTTTTAGCATGACTCAGTGTCTGGTGGAAATTGGCCAGAGTCATGCTGGAGGACCTAAATGTTCCTAGAGAGAACATATTAATCAAATCCACAAAAGTTAGATCCATAATTTTGAAGGGCTAACTGTTGTGTGGTTCCTAAACAACCCTTTCTTTGTTTTGTTATCTTCAGTGATATAAATAATGACATGGCTTAGTGAAGTCCCCACTGTTCTTACTTTTCAGAGCACTCTTTTTAATGACTAAAAGCAATTTCCAGCCTCCCAAACTAAAAGACAAAATGAAGTGGTGAGTACTGTAGTTATATTGCTATATGGCATTGTGATCATTGTGGTCATTTCTAAAGTCTGTAATTTCATTTTAAAGGTCAAATAGTTTCCATCATTTTGTGAAAATGGCACTTACAAAGAATCCTAAAAAAAGACCTACAGCTGAAAAACTATTGCAGGTATAACTTCATATTACTTTTTAAAGTCTTCTAAAAATGTTATGTTTTCATATGAGGAACACTTTTGTAAATAAGTAATTCAGTGTGAGCAGTGCACATGTGTTAGCAAACCTAGTCTTGTTTTGCCCAGTCAGCTTTTCTTTAGTCTGCCTGTCCCTTTGCTTTGACGCAAAGAAGGGATGGGATCTTTAAGCACCTTCCCAAAGTTAATCTTTGCTAATTGTAGGAAGTATTGCGGGAGGAAATTCATTCATTATATTTAAAGGAGCCCCCATTAATGCCATTTCTGTTTTTTAATTGCCTTTTATTTTTTCCAGCATCCTTTTGTTACCCAGCCATTAAACCGAACCCTTGCTATAGAACTATTGGATAAAATGAACAATCCTGATCATTCCACCTACCATGATTTTGATGATGATGATCCTGAGGTGAGAATACTACTGAAATCAGAGCTTGGCAATTAAAGAGACCTGGATGTATCTTGTGCTGGAGCTCTGCTTGCATATTAGTAGAATCCATCTTAAGTGCTGTATTCTCAACTTCCATCAGCCCCAAACCCGCTCTGGAAAGTTCTTCAAACCCCAGGAACTGAATTTTAGGAAGCGCTGAGATTTTAGGAAGCTCCGAGAGCCTCAGAGACCAAAAAAAGACACCATGCCCAACTTCAGCCTCTGAGATAGTCCAAAATTTTTGAAACCCTTGTCACTGCAAATATAATTTGGATGCTTGCAGTGAATATATAAGAAGCTGATGCCACTTAATACTTATATTATTTAATTTTATTTATATAAGCTTTTTAAAAATCTATATATTTTAAACATTTGGTAACATATAAAGCAGAACTGTGATAGCCTTCCTTGTTCTTTGATACATTTTTAAGCTGCTTGGATTTAACTTTCCATAAAACTGTTTGAGGTACAATTGATTTTATTGCAGGGACTGTTGAAAGCATCTTATCTAACTTCCTGTTTAAATCATCCTTTAATTATCCCTTTGTTGAGCAATCCGCTCATCCCAGTTTTGGAACTTATGTTTTACTACAGCATAAAATATATAATGGTGTCCACTTGTAATGGTTTTTCAGAAGTTTACAGTGGATGTAAACATCACTGAGTGTACAACGAACATCTAATTGTAAAAAATATATGGTATTTCACTCCCACCCTATCTGTCAGTATCTGTTCACTGTCTTAAGTGATGCTGAGAATCACTTGTATTATTCAGAAATAAAAGCAGGAGTCATGTCATCTTTGAAACTTTGCTGTTGGCTCTCTGCATCTTCCTAATATCTTCCCTCACCTACCTGCGTTATTAACTTAATATTAACCGTGCTTGAAGAGTGCTCTCTAAACCACACATTAGCAGTAAAAATTCAGAACTAGAAAAAATGGCATTTCTGGGAAATTATGGTACTTCTGAAAGCCAAAGATAAGAACCTTAAATGGGGGAAAAAATGCCCAAGGCCTTTCTTTAAATAAGCGGCTTCTCCTTCATAGTGGACAGGTCTTGACTCACGATGAAGGAATGAGGAAAACACTAGTCTGTCAATTGCTTGTATCTCATTGAGTGAAGTATTTTTGAATACAAGATTGATACTTTGCATCAAAGTAGTTTCCCACTTAATGCAGTTTTTTTGAGGATACAGTATTCCTTTTGAATTCACAAGCATCTACTTCTCTGAAGTGAGCTGAGGTTTCAAATTCTATTGGACTACAAGGCATCTACAAGGCTATCTATAATAGTGCTACATTTTGCCATCCCTCTGCCATTTCATAGCAGAGATTTCAGTTATGGTCAATTTCTCTGCATCACTAAGAGTATTTAATAGATCTTTTTGTGTGTGTATTTAAATTTTTATTAAAGTTTTCAATTACTATTTTCATAAAAGAAAAGAATTATCAACAAAAAAGAGTAAAAAAGGGAGACCGTGAGGGGGGAGGAGGGAAAGAGAAAAAGAGAAAAGAAAACAAGAAAGAAAAAAAACAAAGAAAAACCCACCAACAACCACAGAATAATAAAAAGGGGGAAGGTTCAGTTGTTTTGTGACTTCCATTCTAGTCCTTTGCTGTTTTATGGTTTATTTTCTTATTTTCCCTTTTAAAGAGTGTTTTTTAATAACTCCTATTCCCTTTTTTTATCAAATTTCCTTTAAAAAATAATAACTTACAATTCTATCTGCTTTTTCTCTGGTAGTTCATCACAATTATAAATATTACAGTAACATGCAGTTACTCTACATGGCTACTCTTGTAATTGCTTGTATGCATATCTCATAAGAAAGTAAAATAGAACCATAGAAACATAGCTGCCGTTTTATTGGTACTCTTTTTAAAAAATCTGAATGCTGCAAGCTGCTGTCCCGTGATACAAAACATACTCTTCTCCTGCTGATCTTGTTGTTACTTCAGTGCCCAGAACAGGAACCGCAGTGGCACAATGGGTTAAACCCATGTACTGGCTGAACTGCTGAGCTGAAGGTCGGTGGTTCGAATTTGCCAGAAGGGATGAGCTCCCATCTGTCCAGCTTCTCATGTGGGGACATGAGATAATCTTCCCACAGGATGGTAACATATCTGGGCATCCCTTGAGCCCCCGGTGGGTTAAACCCTTGTGCTGGCAGGACTGAAAACTGACAGGTTGCACGTTCAAATCTGGGGAGAACGCAGATAAGCTCCCTCTGTCAGTTCCAGCTCCCCATGCGGGGACATGAGAGAAGCCTCCCACAAGGATGGTAAAACATTAAAACTTCCAGGCACCCCCTGGGCAACGTCCTTGCAGACTCACATCAGAAGTGACTTGCAGTTTCTCAAGTCACTCCTGACATGAAAAAAGAATCCCCTGGACAAAGTCTCTGCAGACGGCCAATTCTCTCACACCAGAAGTGACTTGCAGCTTCTCAAGTCACTTCTGACACAATAAAAAAAGTGCTCATTATAGATCACAATCGAGTTCTTGAGTTTAATTTCTGCTACAAATTAACATAGTGAAGGTGTCTCCCATTAAGTTGCAAGCATCATGTAGTTATTTATTGGTTATTTAAGAAAGAAGCTAATTACAAATGAGTAGTCATTTCTGACTGGTTACTTCTTGAGCTCTGGGGTTCAATTTGCAAAGTATCTTTAAGACTCTTTATAAAATGTATATAGGCCATCCTTAATTGCAAACTGTTATATTTTTCCTAGCCTCTTCTTGTGCTTCATAGAATTCACTCGACAAGTAGAAATGTGAGAGAAGAAAAAACACGCTCTGAAATAAACTGTAAGTATGGATATGCATTTGAAAAAAATATTGTAACTGCACCTTTTATTTAATATATGTCATATTTAATCATTGTTCTTCCATCCTGGATTAAGCATTCTGACTGAGTTGCAAAATTATTGTAACAGTTACGGTAAATTTATCTGTAGAAGAAAAGCAAGCGTTAGAGTCCGGGTAGAAAAGAAAAAAAAGTGTCAGGAAAATGAAAAATGTGTAGAAACGGCTTTTTGAAAGACCCACTTTTAGAACATAATATGAACAATGTTCAATAATAAATAAATCATCATAAATTTAATGTGACTTATTCCCTAGTTGTGTACTGAGTTGGTGAAAAATCTAAGCTTGCATTCTTTGCACCTCAAGTTTCTCAGCCAAAAAGAGGAAGGAGAGAAAATACTAGCCACTTCTGCTTTATGTGTTGGGGCTACCAGACATGGTGCTTTGGACGTCAACTCCCACAATTCCTAACAGCTGGTAGGGAGTTGTGGGAGTTGAAGTCCAAAACACCTGGAAGGCCAAAGTTCCCCCATGCCTGGGCTAGACAAACGAGCCCTTTTCTTCAATATCTTTGTATCTACTGATAGAGGAGGGAAACAATATGGCTTTTCAGCCAGCCACAGTATGTTGTTTGTATTATTGCATAATAGGTACTTGGCTGGTTTTATTTTTAACAGATGGAGAGGGAGAAATAAAAGCAGGAAATAGATCAACTGAGTTTCACCTGCTGCTACTTTGTTACTTTTGAGTGCATGATAAAGAGGTTAACAATTGGTTTTTCTTCTTTTTTATTCACTATTCCAGAAGAGGTTTATTTGAAAGGAATATTCAAGAGTTAGGTATCAGGAAAGATCTGTGGGACCCAGTAGGAGTTATCATTAGGAGTGATTTCACCAAGTATGTTACCTCTGTATATTGTTCCCCTATCAAACAGTTTTTTAAAAATACTTTTTATTATTATTACATAATTAATTGTAATAATACAAAAGTGGTAAAATTCATCTCCATTCCTTTTTGGGGGGGGGGGCTGTTAATAATTGAATTCTTGTGCTCAATAAAAACAGATATGCAAAGTGATTTTTACAGTTATAGAACTAACTTTTTATGATTGATGCCCTACCCCTTAAAAAAGAAATCACTTTCTAGTAATCCACCAGTCCTCTTTCTTGTAAAAAAATTCCTGAAGGTGGCTTTGTTTCATATCACCTTGATTACAGCATTTTTCAGGAGAGTCATATGCTTGTGTTCTGTCTTGCAACATTATGGAAATTGTTCACTTTTCTTAAGTATACAAAGTTTAGATTGAAAAGGTCAATAAAACTCATAGTCCTAAAAGAGATATGTGTAGTAGGAAATCGCCGAACAGCTGATATTTACAATATAAAGCTTGATTATTAGGTTTTAAAAATAATGTTGGGATGTGGAACATAATGCTTTCTCATTTTTGGACTGCTGCTCCTTTCAGCCTTAGCTAAAATAGCTAGTGATTTAGGATAATGGAACTTGGGAACAACTGTAGGATGACACCTTCACTATTCTTTGATTTCTCTGAAGTTTAAGTTTAAAGGTTTTGTTGTGTAAAGACTATAGGTTCTTTTCCCTAAATTGAATTTTTAGTCTCAGCTAGAGTAGATCCAGGGCCTAAATAACCTAAAGACACCAGATTCCATTTGCTCTAGGAAGTTATGCTGGATCAGCTATGTTAAGACTTAAATGAGAGATTCCCAGCAGAAGCCAAGTGCTGTAGATGATGTTTCAGAGGAAATAACTGGCAAGGCCACTCCTATTTTAAAAAGTCAAGAAGTGATTTATAGGTCTGCGCACACACATATACACAAACAAGCATGGTAGAGCCATTCAATCATAAGTCAACACTTTTTGAAACTGTGTTGATTCAGTGGAACTACTCTAGCAAGGCCTAGCAATTGGGTTTCATTTGAACTATTGTAGTTTTTAATTGGCTTATTTTCTTGCTTTGACTTGACTTAGTTTCTTCTTTGAGCTCTCTTTCTTCTTCTCAGCTAATACAAAGTGTTAACAACCAAATGAAATATTATATATTCCATGATAAAATTTCTGTATAAATCACTAAACTCATTTTACTTGTCTTTTATCTTACTCTTTGTTATCTTTGCTTGTTGTCTTTAATAGTTGGCCAAGTAAAATTTGATCCACCTTTAAGGAAGGAGACAGAGCCTCATCATGAGTTTGTAAGTAACAAAAAGTATTTGGTGTTTTTAGTCACATACCATATATATATGGGGGAAAGTGCTTATAGTATAACAAAAGAAAGGGAAGCCTATACATATGTATTCCATTCTGCATAGTATACCTTTGTAAAGCACTTTACAATTTTATTGTCACTGTGTAGGGATTTTCCCAGTTTTGGGGAACTTTGTGTCAGTCACTACATCCCTCTAGCCATGAAACACAGCAGACCAAAATGTTCAGGCTTTGTAACTTATGGGTATTCTGCTTTGTGGTCTTAACAGATCAGAAATTCTGTGTGACTGTGTAATATAATAACAACTTACTGGTATTTCAGAGGAATTGTTTTTGCATTAACTTGGATTCTTACTAAATAACATGTGTTCATTCTTCTGGTTTACTGTGGTGTATTTTCAATCTCTTTGCTGTCTTTCCAGTATCTACTTAGAAAAAAACATAGCTCCCACTTACACATTTTAGTTCTATGTACATTACAGATAAGCTCTTCGTTTGTATGGAAGGATAGTATCAACTGGGAGAAGCAGTTACACATGTATAGTGAATTTTAAATGGGAAGATCAGGTAAAACTAGACACAAACTATTCAGTGTTCAATAAGCAGAAGGTTACTGAATAAATGACATAAGGGCAGAAACTTTGAATCTGGTAGATGGTATTCCAATTGTCTGAAGACTAATATAATTGTAAAGGCAAATTGCTGTTCTGGGAAGGACGGTAATTGCTTATCGCCTGAAAGCATGTCATAATATTGGGTCCTATGAAAATTGTTGCAAAGGCACCTTAAAGTTACACCATTTACTCTGAGAAATGTCTAGGAGTTCACTCTCCTTAGCTGAAACCAGATTTTTACGCAACTACTGTTTTAATTGCCATTTTTGTACCAACACAGTTAGTCTTTGTCATAGCAATGCATATGGGGAAAGATGTCAGTACTTCTTTTAGGTTCTCCCAGAATGGAGTAAGCTCTTGCCTTTCATCCCTTTACTCAGAGAAGAAGATAGTTCCTTTTTAAAATAAGTGTTAAGGTACAATACTTATATCAACCTATGGATAAGTTGATCCAGATTTTTTTGGTCAATTTTTTGACTAAAGTTTCTATGTTTATACATTAATGCATATGGTACTTTTACTTACACCATCCGTTTTTGGCATTTTGAACATATTTTTGGACACTTTAGACAGTTTTGTATGTGATGACTGAACAGAAAAATCATTATTGTTTTAGTAGATTTGGGTATCTTTCAGTTTCTGTCAGGTCTGTTGTAAGGTGGAGAGTCCATAAAGCCAATTCTTAGTTGACAAACACTCTTTTAAGTATTTGACTTGATTATTGATGTTGTTCTTAAACAGATCACTGTCCCCATTCTTGCTTCATGTCTGTTAGATGATTGCTTGGCAGATGGTTATAGATTTTCAGATTTTTTTTTCACTTAGAAATAAATTTTAATAAAAATTTAGCATCCTTGTCTTATTTTCACACTGAATTCTAATCAGGATAACCACCTTTCCCCACACATATGTTAAGATATACTCTGAATGTGTGGACTTCTGGGTTTTTTTATCACTTTTCTTTTTGCCTAAATCATTAGTCATCTTACTCCAGTGATTATTTCTAGACCTTTTATTTGTTTTTCTCAACTTCTCTTTTGGTGAAGAACAAGGCAACGAGACAGTGTCAAGGTTCCTGGTTCTAATTTTCACATTGAATGATTTTGGAATAAGGATAGTAAGCTATCTTATGCTAATATATTGATCTGTCTAGCTCATGGGTGGATAACCTACAGACCTTATTGCAAGTGGTTGGTCAAAGTGACCAAACCGCCACTTGCTAACCAATGCCAGGTTTAAGGTTGTTGTTCAGTTGTTCAGGAAGCTGTTATGTGGAGTATGGTTATGATGTAAGAGATGATGCACAAATAAAATAATCCCCCATGCTGTTCTCATCATATAAACGTTTAAATCACAACCATATGATTGGCACTAGGAAAAAATTGTTCCCAGTGTCAATCAGCTGGTTTTGGGAGGAGGCAATGGCATCATGCAAAGCAAGGAGGCTGAAACCTTTCCATCCTACATATTAAGGTGAATGGGGAGAGTATATGTACACCTGAGTATCTAAAGGAGGTAATCAAGAGGAAACTTTGTGTACATACATATCCTGACTCACCACTGCATGTGACCCACACACACAAACAGGTTATCCATCCCTGTTTCCAAGTGTTTGTTGTTACATGCTGTCAAAGTTGACTCAGTCTTATGGCAACCCTATTTTAGTACTTTCTTGAGAAGATTTAATCAGAAGAGGTTTGCCATTGCCTTCCTTTAAGGTTGGGAAAGTGTGACTTGCCCTTGGTCACCTAGTGGCTGAACTCTTGATCTGAACTCTCATCATCCAGAGTCCTAGCCCAACACTCAAAATACTATGCTGCATTGTCTGTCCACTCTTACTTGATAGCATTGGTAGGCTGGGTCTTTCAGTACATAATGCCTGTATTCTCCCAATGAGTATAAATACATTAGAGGGAACTCAGATGTTTGGAAAAAATCACTTGTGTAGTTCTGATTATCTATTAATAATTTTATGCATTTACAGGAACTAAGTGTATGGAAAACATATGTATGGAGAATAGATGAAGATTTGATCTTGGAATAGTAAAGGATGAAACACATTTACCATATTTATGTATTGATTGAGTGATTAAAATATCAATATCCCACCCTTTATATAGAGAGCTCAAATAACAAAACCAGTCTAATATATTTAAGATATAAATAAGTCTCCTTCATGAGAGATAAAGCGCGGGGTATATAAATAAACATAAATAATAATTAATTGACATTTAATTCATTAATAAATAATAAAGTAACGATAAGCAAACATCATAATAATACAATAATATAATAATATAAATGATAGAAATAAAATAATAATAAATAAACATAATACTAAGTATAAATAATAAAAATAGCTTTCAAAGTGTAAAACATGTAAAGCAGTTCACAGATTAAAAGGCATGTTAAAAAGGTTTTAAATGAATTAGAGAGATGTGGAATCAGTGTGCCAAATCCTTGACTCTGACATAAATGGCAAATACATATTAACTAATAACAAATTTACTGTATCCAAATGGTAGCACAGGGCATTTCATTACCATCACGTGAATTACCAGGCTATTTAGATTGATAGAATATGAAATACCTTTATTTGATTAAAATTTCCATAAAATGAAAACTTTACTAAATTCTTGTGAAAATAAATATGCCGTTTAATACATTTTGGGGGGAAAGATTTTTAAATAGAAACATAAAGTATACCTTAAAACTAAAGAATTTATAAAATTAAGACTAACAAAATATAATACATATATTGTTAGAGCATTATAGGTTTTATTTTTGAAGCTGAAGTCACAAGTCAGTTTATTCCAACCAGATCCAGCTCTATCCAAATTATTTCCCACTCCACAACCCTGCATAGCATATGCATAGAAAATGGTTTCTGATTATGTACTCACAGCTTTAAGCATTGCTTGCATTAGTGGAAGTCAGTACAACTTTGGCTCTGTCCAGTGTCCTGCATGTAGAATTCCACACGAGGATTTTCTCTTCCTCTTCTTGCATGTTCCCTTCTGTGCTACAGAGGTTTCCCCCTTCCATCCGGAGCAGATTTACAATGGATGCAGCAAGAAGAGAGGATCCATTCTTGCAGTAGCATGGCTGCTTCTTTCAGACTTCCAATTTCTGTAGCTTTCATTTCCATACTCAATTGTTTTTGAGTCCTCAGAGTTGTTGAGAATTAATAGCTTAGTTATATTCTGCCTTAGAAATGCTTAATGTTTCTGTATTAACTCATCTTGCCTCTGTTATTCAGTCATTTGTTTTCAGTCTGCATTCTTCAATGTGACATTGTGCTTCTTCATACACCACTAAATTCCTTTATAGATTCTACCTGCAAGATGTTAATATGTATGCATGTTTTATGCATCATGCTGGTGAAGCTATGACTAACTTGACTTCTTGGCCCATACATATGTTTAAAATACACCCCACCCTCTTGTTTGATAGTTGCATACCAATGATTCATTCCTATGCAAAGGACCTTCCATATATGTGTATGGAAGTAGTCAACTAGTAGATCAGTTGCTTTTTCTTTTCCTCTGCAAGCTGTGGAAAGTTATCAACACAGGGAACTCAGTGTTTTGTTATTTTTCTACAAGCAGCTGATTTCAAACTCACACTTTTCTTTTGGTTTCTGCATTATCTGTCTCACATTATGTGAAAACTGAGGTTAATTCCCTTTATATTTTATAGTTTTATGTGTTTTCAAGATAACTGATTTATGGTGCCCCTAAAGCCAACTTATCATGAGCTTTTCTTTGCAAAATGTATTCAGCTGAGGTTTGCCTGCCTCTAGGGCTGAGAATGTAACATGCACAGGGTCACCAAGCAGTTTCCAGTCAAGCTAAGCTCATATATAAGCTGCTAAAATATCAGTGCCATATTTGGTTGTCTAGTCTAGTGCATGTTTGCCTGTAGCTATGTTCCATTTCATCAATTGGAACTTATGAATAAGGGCTCTTCGGATTTTAAGTATTGCATAGGCAAGGCCTGCACAACTTTGTGGCCCTCCAGGTGTTTTGGGCCTCTACTCTCCGAATCCCTGACCATTGGACAAGTTGGCTGTGGCTTCTGGGAGTTGAAGTCCCAAACACCTGGAGGGCCACAGGTTGTGCAGGCTTGGCATATACATTGTTCTTGTTTTAGCTGTAGAACATAGAGGCAGAATAAGAGAATTGACCTGACAGGGCTTCTGAAGTGTTGTTTGTTTATTCATCCATCCATTCATCTATACATCCACCCTTCTGTTCTGTTCTGAGGCAGTGTATGAGACCCAGGGAATTGCAGAGACTGTGAAAGGACCTTGTTTAGTGGAATTTTCTTTTCCATTTCAAAGCTTCAAAAGCACTTTACCTTTTGGCACAGAGTGAAGAGCAGGGTATTGTGTGAGCACCACTGTCCCTCTGGTTCCATGGTTCCCAGCTCTTGCCATCCTATGCAAGAAAAAACTAAATTATTTTTAGTCCCAATGACCACTTGTCAATAGAAATTGATCGCACTTAATCTGAAACTTCCTTGAAACTGACTTGCCTCACAGTAAGCCTTCTTAAAGTTATAGAGTTGGTCTGGATCATTATTGTAGACATCTGGTCAAACCAGCAGCTCATGTCAACATGTTATTGGCCCTTGAGGATTTACATACATTTAGTAGTTGTATGTGTTAGAGACTAGGGACATAAGTATGGCAATTGTATTGAGGAAAGATGAGAGATAAATATTAAAAGAAATTATAAACATGCACCTTTTACTTGCTTTTGTAGTTATTTTCTGTAGTCACAGTACATGTCTAAATACTATACTAATTTAGCTGCAATGGTGTATAAGGTTTTTATAAATCTTAATAAGTGTAAATGCCACAGATAGCTATCACACAAAAATCCCTTATGTACATACATGTATCTAAGTCTAAAAGTAATTAACTTGAGTTTCTGGTCTTTGTCTGATGAACAGCCCGACAGTAATGAATTTTTGGACAGTTCAGAAGAAATATACTACACTGCAAGATCTAATCTGGTATTTTCATCTATTGCTTTTTCTTCGTCTGTGTGTGTTTGTCTTTTGTTTTTCAAAGTTAAATGTTTTTAACTTTGTCCTCTGTAGAATAGTCAAAGGTCTACTAAACTCTGCAAATACCTCAATAAAATGACTTATACTAACCAAACATTTAATTGTTGAATTGGACATTAACATTTATCACAGTGTTTTAATTATCTTTCAAATGTTATACTGAAACAAAATTATATAATTAATATAATATTAGCTAGGTTAATACTCAGAATAATCAGCAACTGATAATCAGATCAGTAAAGATTAAAAAATGTTATTGGGAAGGGAAGTTGTCAGCATATGTTGACAAACATGGCATGTACGTTTTTCTTCAGTATATTTAATTTCTTTGCATTATAATTTTTCTTTAAAAAACATTGTCGGTAAACTCTGAAATTTAAGATTCAAAGAAAATAGTTTTCCCTTTTCAGCCACGTAATACAGTATTCTCCACATTTTCACTATGAAATGTTGTGCTCTGGAGATCCTCCTTCCTTTTCTTCTGAATCAGAATAGGCAGATTATAATTTGTTAGATTAGTTGCCAAATACTTACTTGTTGTTTATCTGTTGTGAATAATTAAGGAAAATAATATCATTACAGTATATGCTCGTAAAATAACAGGATTAGGCATTTGTCAAAAGGGTTGTTGTAGGTTTTTGGGCTGTATGGCCATGTTCTAGAAGAATTCTCTCCTGATGTTTCACCTACATCTATGACAGGCATCCTCAGAGGTTGTGAGATCTGTTGGAAACTAGAAAAATGGGTTTATATATCTGTGGAAAGTCCAGGGTGGGAGAAAGAACTCTTGTCTGTTGGAGCTAGGTGTGAATATTTCAATTGGCCACCTTGATAAGCATTTGATGGCCTGAGAGTTTTTAGGTGTGGCTTGTTACTGCCTGGGGGAGTCCTTTCTTGAGAGGTGATTAGCTTTTCCTGATTGTTTCTTGTCTGGAGTTCCCCTGTGTTTGAGTTTTGTTCTTTATTTACTGTTATAATTTTAGCATTTTTTAAAAATACTGTTTAGCCAGATTTGTTCATTTTCATGGTTTCTTCCTTTCTGTTGAAATTGTCCACTTGTCAAAAGCTTTCATTGCCTACTATCAACCCTTAGCTTTGCATTGAGATGTTGGTTTTTCTCCTTGACATATATGTTTCTCTCTTTAAGAATCCTCTTGAATTTTGTAGTGTCATTAATACTGGCATGAATCCAGACTTACCCCTGCTGGCATAATCATCTCCTGCCAGCAGAAGAGGAGGTGACTTTTACAATTTGCTTCCCCTTCTTTTTGCAACCAATACACCATCCAAAAACCTGTTTCTGCGGGCCTAGGGCCCTTGGGGAATTAGTGATAATCACATTCTGTGTTCTGTTGCCAACCTGAGATCTTTTACTGAATTAGAATACATTCCATGATAGAAAAAACCCTTTTCTAAATTTGTCTTATTCGTGTCTTTGGATATTTCCTTTCAGCAGTGGCTTTCAGTTGAGATAGAGTTCATGTCAAGTACTCACCCAAAGCCCATTTCTGCAGCATTTTATTTTAAGAGCATTATGTGAAAATTCAAACCTTATTCCCCCCAACTCCCGGTCTTGTCCTGTCCCCCTCCCTTTTTTTTTGGCAAAATATATTGCAATTTTGATTTCCCTGGAAAATAAACTTATACCATTTATAGCAGAAGGCCACAACAGATTCAATATTTTGTACCAAACGTAACATTGTCTGATTTTTTAAAAAAAACCCAAATATTAGCATTCTTATTTGGTATTTCATTCTTGAATTTCTCTGTAAGCTATTTCAGTATTGTGTGTACAGTTAGAACAAAATGTCAGAAGTGTGAGAACAAGCTTGCCTTCTAGATAGTTATGCAATTTCAGTTTCTCTGCAGAGTTTTAGAAGGCTTAGAGATTTCTGAATTCAGAAGGCTAATTTATCTGTAGGCTTGTTCAAACACTGCTTCACCATAGAAGTTCATGATTGAAGCATTAGTAGGGACAATCTTAGAATTATGTACTCTCTTCTTTTTATGTTCTCAAACTGGCAAAGGTACATATTTATTTTTGAAGATAGTTTTCTCCTAATTTGGTAAACCAAGATTCAATATTTATTTACATACAAAACTTCCCAATTTACTCCTTGCCATGTTGCCATATTATCCAACAACATGTCTGATATTATATCATCATCTACTGTTGAAAAGCATCTGCTTCCTTTTAAGGAAATCAGAGTTACAGATGATAACAACCCCACAGCTTTAATTTTTAAAAATCAGAATATTTATCATCTTTAAGTTATTGTAATGCATAATTAATCACCAAAAATATTTTCTTTCTTAGGACTGTTCATATCTGCTTGTACATTTCCCCAAAAATAAGACAGGCCCATAAAATATGCCATAGCAGGAAACATCTGAAGAGCCACTTAGGAATATAAAATGAATTGATTGGTGGCTCTGTATTAATTATGGTTTGTGAAGATAAAGTGTCTAATTGCTTTTTAAATCTATTGCAAAATTTTATTGTCAATGCTGACTATTGAGGTGTACTGTGAGTTGCAGGCAAAAACAGTAACCCAACCCCCTCCCTCCAGCTCCACAGTGTATACGAGTAGTGATCACCATTCAATGATTATTAATAGACTACTCCAAAATTTGCCCTTGATAATATGACTGACAAGTTATATTCTTGCAACCTACACACTGGCATAGACGTGACATTAGTTCAGCCTTAGGATTGAAGTCAAAGTACAGCTTTCCAGAATTAATGTCTAAATTTACTTATAATCTTTAAACTTTATAATCTTTAGGACTTATTATATCCTTTTTCCGTAATATAAAATGAAATTTTAAAATACTGACTGAAGTGGAACATTAAGACAAATTGTATAAAGTCAGCATAAAGTAGCATGCTCAGATTAATCACAGTCACCTTCCAAGCCATGTAAAATCACACCAGTTTTTTAAAGTTCTTTCAAAGCTTTTTTGAAAGAGATTTTTAAAATAGCAGCTCTGTTGAATGCATATCTCCTTAGAAGTAAGTCCCATTGTATCACATACAGTCAAATGTGCTCAGGAGCACACTCCGATGAACGTTTTTACATTTCTTCTAGAACTGTGTCCAACTGTTCGCCTTGGTGAATTTAAAAAAAAGTGTGTCTCAGCTTATTGTGCGGTTATGATGACAGCAGTCCCCTTGTTTGCACATTTGCTGAAGGTGCGGCATTCCAGCTGACCCAGTTTCTAAGCTTCAGTTGAGTAATAAAGCACTCTGCAATTTATGATTTCCCCCCAAATCATCTCATGGTTATAATACTATCTGCTAAACAGAAGGTGTCTTTTTTTTTTTTACTAATCTCTTCATTACAGAATTACAAGTAGCTTTCATCATACTAACCAATGTATTTTCCCATTGAAAGTAAGGTTGAGGACCAATTGAATTGCATGTCTCATCAACCATGCCCAACAAATTCAAGACCACGGGATTTGTAATACAAAAAACACACAAGCAACTAAGTTGAATTCTTGTAAAAGCAGTATCTAACTTGATGAATGCTGTTCTTTAATTAATGGTTTTTCATCATTGTTGGTGAAAGACTGGACTTAAATTCAATATATAAATGTCTGGAAAACCTCATGTTCCCCATCCCTATTAATTTATAGTGCGTTGATATTCAATAGAATGGATATTCCTTGCATTGTCTGAAAATTAAAGTTTTGCCCATTTTTTAAAAAAAAACATCACATTGGTTCTAACAGTTTGAAGTGTGGTGCTAATAAAAGTATGGATCATATTTTGTAATTTTTTCCCCTTGTATCCAGGCAACATTCCTGGTTCTTTAGCAGAAGCATATCTTGTCAAACGTGCTTCCTGCTCATGCTGGTTTTTTCTTTGAAAGTTACATATGAAAGAACTAAGTTAGAATTCATTGCTGAAGTTTCATAGTTCAGCTCTAGAGGCAGTGAAGTTGACTGGATCCTTTGACAGTTTCCTTCTCAAATCATTTATGCCAAATCCTGTGTTAAAAATCAAATGGAGGGTAGTCAGGGCAGCCTTGTTCTGAAATAATTCCTCTTAAAGTTTCCTTTAACAACTTGACTGTATCATACACCAAAAGTATCCGAATGACCTTTTCTTTCCAACGTCCCCCTAAATAGGGAGATCTTTCATAACAGTACTTGTATTACTTCTAAGGGAAGTCTCCATGTTTCCTGCAGTGTTACTGAGTCTCCTGTCTAGGATGCGAAATTCTTTTGCCAATTTAATTTTGTTGTGTTTCTCTTTCTGGATTTTTAACCAGTCTAGTTAACTCTATCAGTAGTGCTTTGTACTTTACTTACTTAGGCAATCCCTCGTTGTCTGAGTATGATGGCCTTCCAAGTGTAGTGTCTTGGCAGTGGATACAAAGGTGACTGGAGCCCTATTCTTGAGCCACATGGTCTTCCACAGTGAGGGCATTGGTTTCAAGGTGAAAGGCGGTCTCGGTCAGGATTGCTTGACACGTCTTCCTCTTGGCATGTTTCTCCCTTTCATGCTCCATTTATGCCTCTTTGAATTCCGCAGCACTGCTGGTCACAGCTGATTTCCAGGTAGAGTGCTCAAGGATCAGGGTTTCCCAGTCCTCGGTGTCTATGCCACAGTTTTTAAGGTTAGCTTTAAGCCCATCTTTAAATTTATTTTCTTGTCTTCCAGCATTTAGTTTTCCATTCTTGAATTGGGAATATAGCAACTACTTTGGGAAACAGTGATCGGGCATTCAGACAATGTGGCCAGTCCAGCGGAGTTGATGGCGTAGGAGCATCATTTCAGTGCTGGTGGTCTTTGCTTCTTCCAACACACTGACATTTGTCCGCCTGTCTTCCCAAGAGATTTACAGGATTTTTTGGAGGCAACGCTGATGGAATCGTTCCAGGAGTTTACTGTGATGTCTGTAGACAGTCCACATTTCGCAGGCATATAGCAGGGTTGG